TAATCTAGTAAAGATAAATACAAGGGTCTTACAGTTTCTTCTCTAATTCCTGAACAATACTTAGGGATTTGGTATAAAATATTCAGAAGCTGCATCAACAAATTTTCACATTGTGGTTTTAGATAAAAAGAAGGCTCAATTTCAAAAATGCTGAGTGAGTGATAGGACAGTGTGATATTTCAGATAGATTGAAATCTTTCTGTCAAGAAATCTTACAAATTTGGCTGGGCACGGTGGCTCACGCCTGTAATCCCAGCACTTTGGGAGGCCAAGGCGGGTGGATCATGAGGTCAGGAGATCGAGACCATCCTGGCTAACACGGTGAAACCCCGTCTCTGCTAAAAATACAAAAAAGTAGCCGGGGGAGGTGGCGGCGCCTGTAGTCCCAGCTACTCGGGAGACTGAGGCAGGAGAATGGCGGGAACCCGGGAGGCGGAGCTTGCAGTGAGCCGAGACCGAGCCACTGCACTCCAGCCTGGGCGACAGAGCGAGACTGTCTCAAAAAAAAAAAAAAAAAGATATCTTACAAATTCCACCCTTTCCTTTGACCTCTTTAGAAATCATACCTGCATGCAAGTGAAGGATTGTGACATTAAAGAAAAAAAACTTGGATCATCTCTAGTTGTAAAATATTAAAGGCATCCAAAGACATGATATTTAAAATTTTCATTTAAGCAGATTATATCTGATATACCTCATATCTTACTCTGTTTTAGTTGCCTGAGTTTTCTCAGATATTGTAAAAGTTACTTTATTGAGATATGATTGACCATACAAAAAAGCTATCCCTATTTAATCCATATGACTTGAAGATTTTGGAGATAAGTGTACACCCAGGAAATCATCACCACAATATATGCCATAAACATATCCATTACCTCCAGAAGTTTCCTCCTGCCCTCTTTATTTATTGTTACTTTTCTGTCATAAGAAGGGATAACAGAAGGTACACCCTTTAGCAAATTGGAAAGTATACAATGTAAAATAAACTATAGGCACTATACTGTATAGTAAATCTCTAGGACTTACTTATCTTGCATCACTGAGACTTTGTACCCTTTGACTAATTTTGTGTCCTTTGACCAACAACCTTCACACCATAAAAATATATGTTAAATAGCTTGATTTAATTATCCCACACACACATTGTAACACATATTATGTTTTACATTATATATACAATTTTACTGTTATAAGTTTATACAAGTAATTATGCTCATAATGAAAAATAAGGAAACAATAAAAAGTATTGGATTGGGAATCAATGCAGAATTAGGTTCAAATCTTGATTATCTCTTCAATTATTTTTGTGACAATGGGCAAGATTTACTTCTCTGGATCTCTTCTTCATCTGTAAGTTTAGAGTTTTGGGTTAGTTGAGCTTTAAAGTTTCTATACAGATCATTTCTCAAACAATTATAATTATTCCCTGGAAAATTCTGAGAGAAGGATTTTTGTAAATGAATATTTAAAAAATCACAGGACAGGAGAATAAAATATGTAATTTCAAGTTTTAATAATTAAAATCAGATTTATTTCCTAAAGTATTAATACCTTGGATTATGGGGAAGTATTTGCTCTGAGATTCTAAAAGAAGTCAGTATCTGTTTTTTCATGATAGTTTTGGAAAAGTCCACTAAAGACCTCCTGCTGCTCCTCTTTCATTTTGGTGAATATTAAACCTCACTACATAATCTAAGACTGTAACTGTGTCTTAGAAATTCCTAGTTTATGCTTTTCCTCGTATCTTGGGTTCTCTTCCTTGACCTTGACATGTCCATTTAATGAAACCCGCTCAAATTTGAGGTAGGTTTAATTTGTTTCTCACAAATCTCCTATATCTGCTTTTACTTATGTTCTTACACCTCTGAATTCTCTTGGCCTCTTGTCCTCAGCATAAGCCTCCTTTGTTAGTAATATGTTATATTAATGCCTTAAGGCCTTGAACTATTCACTCATCCTGAAATACTTTCTTCAGATCTTTCTGACTGGCTTTTTCTTGTTATCCAGGTCTTAGTTTATATTCTACTGCTGCAGAAAGCTCTCTGATCATCTAACGTAAAGTAACTTCCCAGTTACTGTCTATTTTATTGTGATGTTTTACTTTCTTCATAGCAGTATTTAAAGTTATTTTATGTATGTCTCTCTCATTAAAATGTAAGTTTCCTGGAGACAAAAGATGCCCAATAAATATGTAACGATGATAATTTTTTGTATGTGTGCATTTTATTCATTTTGCTGGAGAAGGCATACACCTTCGAATAGAGTTACTTCTGTTTCATTTCTTTTATCTTCTGCAATATCTGATGTATGGTCTTGCACACTAGAAATTCTCTGTAGATATTCTTAATGGAATTGTGTTAATGTGGAAGAAAAAAAACCAGTAAAAATTGGAGCTGTTACTCTCATTCTATTTACCAAATGTAGTTTCTGCTGTAACATCATTTCATTTCGTGGGTTCTTGATTTGATAAAAAATAAAGAAAAGAAAGAGAATCCCACAGTTTTAGCATGCTCACTTAAAAATCCATATCAAGGCCAAGCAATTGCATGCCCACAGGGAACCTTGATTTAATTGTTTTCTAAAAAGATGTCCATATCTATTTAACTGCCATTCAGAAAAATCATGAGTTTATTTAAATAAAAGGTATTTAGAACTACAGTTCTTATGATAAACCTACAAATATAATTATTTATTAATATAACTAGGAACAAATTTTATAGACCTCATATAATCACAGAATAATCAATCCACCAGAAATGTAACTTTTTTTAACTAATGATCTTGAAATGTCAAATGATATATAATGCTTTAATTGATCTAGGCTATTCAGAAACACCTAAGTCATTGTGACTGTATAAAAGAAATAAAAGCAGAAGATTTGTAAAGTGTCTAGTTCATTTTTATGTCAACAGGAGAATAAATGAAAGCAATGTTTTATTTATTCAACATAAACTGGACTGGATTAAGATCAGACTTGCTACTTTGAAGTTAAATTTACTATAAAATTGATTCATTTTTACTATAAAATTCATTAGAATGTGAGAACAAGGAGGGATTCTAGCAGTCATTCAAATGAGGTTATTATAGGTGAGGAAACTGAACTAAAACAATCTATTCAATTTTGTAAGACTAGCTACTCTAGATTAGTTCAGCTTTAAAGGTTGGCTAGATGTCCAGATGTAAGCACCTGCCTCTTACTCCAAAATATAGCCTTTGACTCCTATTTCAAGGGACACGAAAGTGTAAAATTCTGTAACAGGTACTCAGCAGGGTTGGAAGCTAATAGGTTTTGGACTCATCTATTACATATCAAGAAAAGGATCTCCAGTTTATAATAATATATTGTAATCAAATAAATACAGTAATATTAAAATTATATCAAGTTCTGAAAAATATCTTTGAATATTTGGGAGACACTTGTGGATCTAATACTGCTTTCTTTATGAAATTTAATAAGATTTACATTGTCTATGATGACTAACATTCTGGTTATCAGAATGCAAAGTAGCAGAGAAGTATGTAAAGGTACTGCTTTAGTGTGTGTATTAGTAGGAATTATTTCAGTTGCAAAAGGTAAGAATTCAGCTCAAATTAGTTTATACAAAAGAAACTCACTGACTGAGAAGAAAAGAATAGCTTAAAGTTGAAAGCAAGAGATATAGAAAAACAAAGCACCTAGGGCAGGAATTATGCACTCAGAATTGCTAAAATATTATCTCTCTCTTTTGTTATCTGTGCTTAGCTTCCTTCTTCATATTTTAAATAAGATACAGCCCCTGGCCATTCCAGTAGTATTTCCTCTCAGTTTAGCAACACTGCCCTTTCCCTTAAAGGGCAACAGCTTATTTATTCCAGGTTCTGTAGATTAATATTAAGGAAGGTCTTGAATTGGCACAGCTTAGGATATTTGTTGGAACAGGGGAATAGAGAATTCCTGTAACAAGATAACATGACTGAAATGTTCACAAAAACCACATGCCACTGGGAAATAGTGACTCTACCTCTCAAAAGACGCTACATTGTAAAAAAATGCAACGCTAAGAAAACGTACCCCTTAGAATATTCTTGATAATGGAATTTGCCATGCTAATGTCCCATAAGTTAGTTGTTACAGAGGTGGCGTTGTCAATTTCCGGTATTGCCCTTATGCAGCTTACTAGTTTACAAAGATTAAAAAATGATAAAACCTAATATTGGTGGAGGTGAAGTGAGAGGGCCCTTCACGTAACTCTGGAGGAAGTATCAATTGGTAAAACCTTTTTGTTAAGCAATTGGATAAAATATCAAGAAAATTAAAATAGTTCACACTTGTAGATATGGTAATTCCACTTCTAAAAGGAAAATCTAATAACATAATTAAAATATGGGTACATATTTATGTGTAATGTTTTATGTAATTTGAGTATTAGAAACAAAATCAATATTCAGTAACGTTTACTCTGTTAAATATAAATATAATCATGTACCACATAAGGATGTTTCAGTCAAGACAGGTGACATATACAGGCCAATAAGAGTATAACACTGTATTTTTACTGTTCATTTTCTACGATCACATACACAGATGCTTACATTGTGCAACAGCTGCCTACACTATTCAGCACAATAATGTGCTATACAGTTTTGTAGCATCTAGGCTATGCCCTCTAGCCTAATTGCATAGTAGACTAGACCATCTACATTTGTGTAAGTGTATACTCTGTGATGTTCACACAATGAGGAAATCACCTAAGGACACATTTGGCAGAAGGCACCCCTATTGTTAAATAACGCATGACTGAATGTGATAGGCTGCTATGCAGATTACACCTAATACCCTCACATGATTTTGATAATATACTGTCATTGCAAACTTGAAAGGAAGCAACTTCCTTTTTAAATTGTTGCCAATGATGTAAATTCATGCAAACTCATTGGATAAAATTACATATATGTATCATAAAACTATATATCAAAATTAAAAATGCAAATATGACCTAGAAATTTTATTTTTAGGAATTTATCTCATAGATATTCTAGTATATACTCAAATAATGTTCACAGCAATACTGTTTGCAATAGATAATATCTGGAAATAAGTCAAATTTCCGACAATGAGTGACATATTGAATAAATTCTGCCATTAGAAAGGAATAATTTATATATTAATCTGCAAAATATGTTAAATGAAAAAGCAAAAGTTCAAACACTGTCTATATAGTAGACCCTCATTTCTCTAGAAATAGATAACAGTTGTGTAGTAGACATGACTGTGTTCACTAACAGCTAGTTCTCTCCCTGGACATACAGAAGATTATAGTTCCCATACTTCTTGCAGTTAACTGAAGCCAGGAAACTAGGTCTGGCAAATACAATGAGTGCGACTGACTTTTGAGCTGACAAAAACGAAAAGCCCTTTTTAAATTCTGCCAGTATGCATGCACAGGGTCTTGTGTTGAAAATGTAGAGCCACAGGGTAAAAGCAGCTTGAATGGCTGACTCATATACAAGGACAACTGGCTGACAGTCACCAGGACTATCAAGAAGTTTGCAGAAACAAGAAATAAACTTTTACTGTTTTAAACTGTTGTGAATTTTGGGTTTTGTTTCCCACCAAGTAAACCTAGTCTATTCTGATTGTTGTAAGTGGTCAATTTGGGAAGTCAAATATATTTAAAATTGGCTTACTGCTGTAACATATACAGTCCAAATTACATAATGGCTCCAATTCAATAGAAGTCTCTTTTTGCTCACATATCGCTTCGTTGAGATTCTACATTAATTGTAATGATGAGGGTGGGGGTGTCTTATGTCGTACAGTTGTCACCCAGGATGACCGACTTTGTAACATTTTTTCCCACTGACTTCCAAAGTTCTCATAGATAGCAAAATTCATTTGGAAGAAGGAGAAGGAGCATGGAGAATTGCAGATGGAGATTTTTATGGGAAGGCTTGGAGGTTGCACATTACTACTTTTACTTGTTGGCTAGGAATCTATCACGTGGTGACACCTAAGCGCCAGTGAGTCTGACAATGCGGCAATTTGGTTGCGTGCCATGGTAAGAGGCAAAAAATTTTGCTCGATAGTTACCAGTTTTTGCCACAGATGAAGGGATTTTTCATTGTATAATTAGTTATTATTGTTTGAATTTAAAAGAGGAAAATATCATTTTCAAATAAAAATGCAAAAGTGGCACAAAAAATTCTTTTTTTTTTTTGCTTTACTTTTGTGCATTTATTTGGCTATTATTAAAGTAAATAATGCTCTTTACAGAAAATGTGGAAAGTAACACAAAAGAAAAATAAGCAGAAAAAGTCATCCCATAACCCCCATGATTCCAGCATAATAATCTTTCTTAAGGTAACTGAAATGACCATCCTTCTTTTACAATTGCAAATGCTAACCCCCAGGGATTTTAAGAAATTTGTCAGCTCTAGTAAGCGGTAGAGCACAGAGAAAAGAAAAGCCAGGGAAGCTTTTAGAGAGCAGGAGGCAAGAAAGAAAATGACTTATGAATGTGGAAACGCAATTGACAAATGATTTTAAAATTTTGCAGGTTTAATTGCACGGAGAGAGGGAGCATAGAACAGGAGAAATATACCACAGCAACAGAGGTAAGGACCTCAGCTTTAGAGGTTTCCCATTTTATTACAGTTATATTTCCATTTAGATATGTTATTTAGATATTAAGGTGTAACTGTCCAATAGGCAGTATGAACCTAGGTTCTGGATGAAGACCGGTCAGGATATTGTGTCAATGACAGTAGTTGAAGGCACTGGTGTGAAAGGTTGTAGAGAGAGTTGTGATGAGGCAGAATCTTGAGCAATTTAAGAGTTAGATGTTGTACAGATTGTTGAAGGCTAGAATTGTTTGTTGTTGTTGTTGTTGTTGTTGTTGTTGTTTGTTTGTTTCTTTTCTTAAAGCCCTGGCCCATTTCCCTGAAGAGCTCTCACTGGAAAAGCCATAGTTGGATATGGCATGAGAAGCTAGCTAGGATTCTAAATGGTGAATGTGGCCACCAGTTGGCTGCCTGGTATAAAATACATCCAGGTGTTCAATTCTCCTGAGTTCCAAGGCTAACTATTATTCTTAACTATTGTGTGCATCCATTCCTATAAATATTAGAAGACTGGGAACTCAGATAGCTTATTTTGCTCCTGAATCTGTTACCAAGTAGGTACATGAACTAAAAAACTAATTTTTCCAACCAGAGCTTAGATTCCCTCATATATAAAAAGAGAAGAATAGACTAAACAATCTCTAACTACCCAGCTCTGAAACCCAGACTCTATGATAAGAATAAGCATTTTCCCAAACTCTCAAACTTAGTATTTTTTTATAGAAATGATTACTTTCTTCTTCATCCCCTGGTCATCTGCATAAACATCTCATCCATCCTCTAGACAATAACCATGATAGGGCAGAAAATCAATAATTTTCTCTGTGTCTTCTGTGGAATTTAACACAGAACATTGAAAATAGTAGCAATTAATAAAAATTTAAACAATAAACTATAACATACATTTTTAAACTGAAAGCTTTGTGCTCTGTGCTGATTTCTCTGATGATAACACGTTAAAGTTTGAAGCAGTGGTCATGAAAATGATATTCTAGAACCATCATAACTGAAGTGTGGTGCTCCCTCTGTAATTGTAAAATAAGGTTTGAGTGGCCACACAATGCCTCTCATACCTAGAATTCTAACAGAGTAAAAACTTTCTTAAACATACAGTTCCAGGATCTATGACCTGGAGTCATCTCCTTCTTGGATATTGTACATAGGGTGGTGATCTTCATTTATATTCATTCACTGGAGCCTTGGCTTTATGCTGCTTTGACAGCTTGTCAGGAATAAATGTTGTCAAGAAGGGCATTTTCTTTGGAGATTTTTATATAGCTTGTGTTGCTAGAAAGAAAAACATAGCAAGCTTGTTTAATCCAATTAATGAAGATCTGTAGGCTGTCTTGTGCAGCCGGTCAACTGGCAATGAAGGAAGTTAATTTTAAGGTCTATGAAAGCTCCCATTGTGGTGACAAACTCAGGAACTCAACAACTACTGTTAACTCTCTCCAACCATTTTGTAATTTCTTTTTGCTTTTATAACTGTAGCAATAGAAAAAGTATCTTTCCTTGCATAAGCAGAAATGGTTTAGTATTTGTATAACATGTTAATAGATAATTTATCAAAGAGAAATGATTCATTATTTGTTTAAATGCATTAATAGATAATTTATCAAAATTACTAGATAATTAATAGATAATTTTTCAACATGGGTCTAATTAGATTGACTATTCGGGTTTATATATTTTTTTCTGGCATTTACCCCTTCTGTTATATAGTGCTATGAAAAAATACTAAATTTGTAGTGATAAAAGTTGGTATAAGGTGCAAAATCTAACACTTGTAGGCTGTGAATGCAAGCCATTTCACTATTTTGGGCCTCAGTTTCTCATATATAAATGATGATAATACAGGTAGTACTATTTTTTATTGTCACAGGATGACTTTGAAGAAAACTATACAAATATTTGTGAAGCTGTAAAATCCAAACATCATACAAATATAGGTGCTGCGTATATGGTTTTCCCATATCAGCACTGTCAGAAAAAATACTGCCCCCAATTATTTACAATCACCAATAAAATGGAATTTTATATCTTTACTGTGTTATGCAGTTAAGGAGCCATTATCCTGCAGATATTTCCTCAGATTTTTGCCACACTCTGTGAAGATACATTATTTTCTCCCACTTTTCTAGCTGATGAGAAAAAGTACCATGCAAAAATCTTCAGTGATTTTTCCCCAAAATACCAAGTTTCAACATTTTCTAGCACTTTAAACAACACAGACTACTTTCTACTTGTCTCATGCCACTTTAAATAGGATCATTAAGGGACACTCTCTCTGTTGAGATATTTGGACAGATCCCTTAATGAAGAAAGGCAGCAATTCAGACCAAGGTGTGGGCAAAGGATACTCCAGGATGAAGAAACACCAAGCACAAAAAGGCCTTAGCCAGGACAGAATTGTTATTTCCAAGGAATACCAACATGTCCAGTACTAATGAAGTCAAATGAATGAGAGAAGAGTGGAAGTAGAGAAAGGCAATGTCTTGAGTAGTTGTCTGACTATATAGTCTCTCGTAGACCATGATAATTGTTTGCACCTTATTCTAAGTTCAGTGAAATGTCATTGAAGTCTATGCAGGAAAGCAACATGACATGATTTATGTTTTAAATGGATCATTTTAGCTCCTATGTGTGGTATGCAACTTAGCACAATACAAGCAGAGACAGGAATGATAGGCATGACAGGGATCAAAGTAGATATACTAGTGACTTAGACTAGAGTGATAGAAATTGGGATAATGAACAATAGTCAGATTGGATAGATTTTAAGGATAATGTCAACAGTTATGCTACATTAAACATACTGCCCAAGGTAATTTATAGATTCAATGCCATCCCCATCAAGCTACCAATGACTTTCTTCACAGAATTGGAAAAAACTGTTTTAAAGTTCATATGGAACCAAAATAGAGCCTGCATTGCCAAGACAATCCTAAGTCAAAAGAACAAAGCTGGAGGGATCACGCTACCTGACTTCAAACTATACTACAAGGCTACAGTAACCAAAATAGCATGGTACTGGTACCAAAACAGAGATATAGACCAATGGAACATACCAGAGTCCTCAGAAATAATACCACACATCTACAACCATCTGATCTTTGACAAACCTGACAAAAACAAGAAATGGGGAAAGGATTCCCTATTTAATAAATGGTGCTGGGAAAGTTGGCTAACCATAAGTAGAAAACTGAAACTGGATCCTTTCCTTACTCCTTATATGAAAATTAATTCAAGATGGATTACAGACTTAAACGTTAGACCTAATACCATCAAAACCCTAGAAGAAAACCTAGGTAATACCATTCAGGACATAGGCATGGGCAAGGACTTCATGTCTAAAACACCAAAAGCAACGGCAAGGAAAGCCAAAACTGACAAATAGGATCTAATTAAACTAAAGAGCTTCTGCACAGCAAAAGAAACTACCATCAGAGTGAACGGGCAACCTACAGAATGGGAGAAAATTTTTGCAATCTACTCATCTGACAAAGGGCTAATATCCAGAACCTACAAAGAACTCAAACAAATTTACAAGAAAAAAGCAAACAACTCCATCAAAAAGTGGGCAAAGGATATGAACAGACATGTCTCAAAAGAAGACATGCATACAGCCAACAGACACATGAAAAAATGCTCATCATCACTGGCCATCAGAGAAACACAAATCAAAACCACAATGAGATACCACCTCACACCAGTTAGAATGGCAGTCATTAAAAAGTCAGGAAACAACTGGTGCTGGAGAGGATGTGGAGAATAGGAACACTTTTACACTGTTGGTGGGACTGTAAACTAGTTCAACCATTGTGGAAAACAGTATGGCGATTCCTCAAGGATCTAGAACTAGAAATACCATATGACCCAGCCATCCCTTTACTAGGTATCTATCCAAAGGATTATAAATCATGCTGCTATAAAGGCACATGCACACATATGTTTATTGCGGCATTATTCACAATAGCAAAGACTTGGAATCAACCCAAATGTCCATCAGTGACAGACTGGATTAAGAAAATGTGGCACATATACACCATGGAATACTATGCAGCCATAAAAAAGGATGAGTTCAAGTCCTTTGTAGGGACATGGATGCAGCTGGAAACCATCATTCTCAGCAAACTATCGCAAGAACAGAAAACCAAACACCGCATGTTCTCACTCATAGGTGAGAATTGAACACTGAGATCACTTGGACTCTGGAAGGGGAACATCACACACTGGGGCCTATCATGGGAACAGGGGAGGGGGGAGGGATGGCATTGGGAGTTATACCTGATGTAAATGACGAGTTGATGGGTGCTGACGAGTTGATGGGTGCAGCACACCAACATGGCACAAGTATACATACGTAACAAACCTGCACGTTGTGCATATGTACCCTAGAACTTAAAGTATAATCATAATAATAATAAAAAAGAATAAGTAGACAGCCGTTAGCACGTTTAAAAAAAAAAAAGAATTGAGAAAAGAGAGTACTAAAACTAGCTCAGGATTTTGGTATGAGCAAATTTGAATGACAACCTGAACAGAGTTGAAAACATTAAAAAAAACCATCATAAATTTTCACCACACCTTACAAGATGCATTTGTGATTTGTGGATTATTGTGTATGGATATGTGTGTTCACATGTGTTTGTGACTATCACTTAGAAATTACTTGTAAAAAATTTCACAAAATTCTGGAAATATGCAATTAAAAATAAACCATAAACTATGGCTCAAAACTCGTATCATACAATTGATCTTTGCCAAGGAATTCAGCTTCTCTGTTACAGGAGAGAATTAAAAATAATTTACCTATAACAAGTAACTTTGAAGGGACTGGAATTAGTTTTGTAAGGGGTATGGCATACTGGAAAAAACCAGGACACAATTTTTTCTACAGATAATCATTATCAGTTTTAATTTGTTTTAATTGCATGCTTTATCTCCCTTCCAATTTAGTCATTTTAAAATTAAAAATTGATTCTGTAAAACTCATTACTATACCATCAGTGTGGCCCTTTTGTGTCAGCTACTTTTAAATCCAAGGAAGAAAATGGCTAATTTAATGAGGAAGTTTAAGAAAGAAAGAAAAGTTCAAAGAAAAATAATGAGGCACAGTTCCCTCTGGATCTGTTTCTAATGTTTAATACAAGAAAATGTCAGCAGTATTTTAAGATTCACAGAAATTATTGTGATATAGGCAACATTATATAGGCTTACACACCAACAAGAGGCTTAGCATGAGACTATCCACAGAGTAGGCAGAATATATGTTACTGACTTTTATTAAAGGCAGTGTGGTATATAGTAAATAGATTAGCATTTTTCATGTTTCTTCTGCCATTGTAAGCATGTCATTCAATGGCATAATATCCTAGTCTGATGGCATTGTCAGAATCAAAAGTTCAGAGGTGAAGGAACTGGTCACAGTCTTGCATAAGCAGAAAAAAGATAAAAACATGATTTTTTTTTTTTTTTTTTTTTTTTTTTTTTTACCCCAAGAGCAGCATAGAGGTTGGTTAAAGCCAGCTAGTGACATTTTTCCTGCACAATATTGGTCACAAAATTAGTTTATTTTGAAGAATGATATTGGAGACAGAGGTCTAAAAGAGGGGTTCTCATCCTGGTATTTAAAGTTTTTCCTGGCAGCTATTAAGTAGTGAGAAAGACAGTCTTTGGGACTTGCTCTGCTTTTGGAAGAATATAGATTAACTATGGGAAAGAAACTGAGGAAGCAAAAGCATTAATTATGTATTCTGAGAAAAGCATACAACCTTTTCTTTACCTCCCTGAATTTCCCTTGTCTTTTCCTCCTGCTCTGTACTGAGAAAAGAAAGCTCTCTCAGAAACCTTTTGAAGGACTGGATCTTAAAAGATTTCTGCTTAAAAATGCCCGTTCCGCTCTTTTAGTGAAAAAAATACAACTTATTTTCAAAGCCCAGCATCATCATTATACATCATATGTATTTTCCATCCAAGAAGAATTATTGTTTCTTTCTCAATACTGTCATATTTGCTGTGTGTGTACATGGCAATTGTTCTGGACCACAGGCAAACCAAGGGCATTTACCAGAGACCCACCTACTTGGTGGTTCATGAGTTCGTTTTTTTCAGTGGCTTTCATTAGAATGCCAGAAATTTTGCTTGCCTTCTTAGCCTCTTAGATGTAGCTTGTAAATCTTTAAATTCACCAAGAAAAAGCATCAGTGTACTGAATATTGCATTTACCTTTCTAGACTTTTCTCTGACATGCTGGCCTGCCAAGTCTGATGACGGCCTTAGAAGATATTGAATACCTTCACATAAATCCTTTTCAATATTATTTTCGTGTTTTGTAGCTGTCTCAGAAGAACGGCTGATCTGAAATATGCTAGACTATCATTGACAAGAATAAAAAATATTACTGTTAGATTTTATGGTAGCAAAACAAAGCAAAAATCAGTGGTATATAAAAATATATCAAATTTCTTGAGAAAAAAGCCTGTGCAAGAAACTTCATTTATGTAAGATGTAAAATCAATGAGGTTGACAGCTGTATATACCAGTAAAACCACCATCACAATAAAAAAGTAACATTTTTCATCATTTCTCAAAGATCTTTACTATACCTTCACAGTTAGTCCTTCCCTTGATCCTCAACTGCAAGCAACAATCTACTGGATGTTTGTTACGTAGATTAGTTTGCATGTTTTATAATAAGAATAATATCATATGATAATCTTCTGTGTCTTTTGTGTCTTTAGCTTAGCAAAATATTTTGAAATTCATGTATATTGTATGTATCAGTAGTCTATTCCTTTATATTGCTGATTAGCATTCCATTGAATATGTACATTTACTTTGCACTTTATTGATTAATAATACTTTGTAAGTCTTTCTAATTTTTTTTTCCATTTTATGGATGATTAGTAGTAGTTCATTGTGTTTTAGTTGCATTTTCCTGATGACTAATGATGTTGGGTGTTTTTTAATGTATTTATTGGCTATTCATATTTTTTCTCTCGTAAATGCCTGTTCAAATATTTTGAGCATTAAAAAGTTGGGTTGTCTTCTTACTATTAAGATATAAGAGTTGTTGATATACTCTAGGCACAGTTCTTTATAAAAATATGTGTTTTAAATATTTTCTCTCTTTTTGTATTTATTTTCTTAATTGTGTCTTGAAGAGCAAAAGTGTTAAAATTTTATAAAGCCCAACTGTGAAAGTTTCTCCTATGATTTTCCTTAGGTATTTGATTTATGAAATGCTTGACTATCCCTAAGTCTCCAAGATTATGTCTAGTTTAGCTTTGTTTTTAAGTAGTAGTTATATGGTTTCAGTTTTTATATTTGGGTGAATAACCCATTTAGATTAATTTTATGTGAATTAAGATTCAGATATTTTTATTTTTTTACTGACATCAAGTTGTTCCAGTGCCTTTTTTGTTTCTTTTTAGAGACAGACTCTTGCTCTGTCACCCAAGTTGGAGTGCAGTGGTGCATCATAATTCCACAACCTCAAATTACTCAGCTCAGAAGATCCTCCTGCCTCAGCCTCCTGAATACCTAGTACTCCAGGTGTGTACCACCATGCCCGGCTAATTTCTTTTATTTTTTGTAGAGATGGGATCTTCTTATGTTGTACAGGCTGGCGATGCCCCTGCCTTGGCCTCTTAAAGCACTAGAATTACAGATGTGAGTCCTTACACCTCTCCCAGTTGCATGTTTTGGAAAGTACTTTTTCCCCTATTGAATTGCCTTGGCATTTTTGTCAAAAATCATTTTTTTATATATGTTTGGGTCTATTTCTGGATACTGTATTCTGCTCCAGCAATATACATATCTATGCTCATGCCAATATAATATTGTTGTGATTACTACAGTGTTACTGTACTTTTTGAAGTCTGGTAGTATATTTTTTCTGTGTTTTCTTTTGTGTAACATTCATTTTACTATTCTACATCATTTTCATTTCCATGTAGATTTTAAAATCAACTTGTCACTTTGTATAAAAGAACTTTCTAGACATTTTGTTGAGATTGCATGGAATTTATAAATCACTTTGAAGAGAATTTACATTTTAATAATATTGATTGTTCCAATGCATGAATGAGTAATATTCCTCCATTTATTTAGGTTTTTGTTAGTTTCTTTTATTCTTTATTTCATAGTGTAAAAGTCCTGTGTATATTTTGTTAAGTTTTTATGTAAGCATTTCATAATTTTTTTTGGGGGGGGTAAATGTATATTAAATTCTTAAAATTTTATTTTCTATGTCTTTGCTGAAAGTATATAATATGCAATTAATTTTGTTTTAATGTTCAATGTTTAAACATTATAAGAAAATTGTTATGTTTATACTTAACCATACAGTCACTTTAATCTTTATTTGTTTAAACTTTATTCATTCCTAACATATGAATTTTTCTATATCAATTCCCTCTTCAAACTTGAATAATTTTATTTGCATTTTCCATAGTTTTACTTCGTCTGAAAATGTCTTTCTTAACTCTGTTCTATTTTCACTAAATCTAGAATTCTAGGTTAACCATTATTTTCTTTTTCTTTCAGCATTTTAAATCTGTTGCTCCACTGTCATCTGGCCTTAATGGTTTCTGATGTCACATCCACCATCATTGTTCCACCATATGTAAAGTATTAATTTCTAGGTGTTTTTAAGATTTTCTTGTTCCTTTTGTCTTTCAGCAGTTTTACTGTGAGGTACCTATACCTGTGTAGATGCTTCTTTCAAATGTGCCCTATTTGGAGTTTGCTGCCCTTTAGTAATCTATAAATGTAGGCCTTTCACCAGATTTGGAAAGTTTTGGTCATCATTTCTTCAAATATTTTTTGTCTCAAACTTTTTCCTTTATTTCTAGGACTCCAATTACCTAATTAAGGTGTTAGACCTTTTGAAATGTTCCACTGTTCTCTGGGGCTCAGTTTATATTTTCTTTTTTTTTTTTTTTTCTTTTTTTTTTTAGACAGAGTCTCACTCTGTCACCAGGCTGGAGAGAGCAGTGCCGTGGTCTTGGCTCACTGCAACCTCTGCCTCCTGGGTTCAAGTGATTTTCCTGCCTCAGCCTCCCAAGTAGCTGGGATTACAGGCACGCACCACCATGCCCAGCTAATTTTTGTATTTTTAGTAGAGATGCGGTTTCACCATGTTGGCCAGGCTTGTCTTGAACTCCTGACCTCGTGATCCACCTGCTTCTGCCTACCAAAGTGCTGGGATTACAGGCGTAAGCCACCGCGCCTGTCCCAGTTTGTGTTCATTCATAAACTTGTTGTCTCTTTTTCAAATTGCATGATTTCTATTGATTTATATTCAGTTTTACTTAGATTCTTTTGACATCTTTATTTTAATAATTTTGCCTAATCAGAAAATTTATATTTTTGTGTTTTTATCAATTTTAAAATTTCTTTTATGCCTTTTTATGTTTTCTACTTTTATGCTGGTATTTTCTATTTTTTTTTTGTTCCTTCCACGTGTATCTTTCTTTACCTGATCGAGCATAGTTTTAACTCTGTTTAAAGTTCATGTCTGATAATTTGGTCATTTTTCCCCTAAAAAATGAGTCATTGTTTCCTGGCTCTTTGTATATGAAGCGATTTTTGGATTGAATTGTGGACATTATGAATGTAATTATGAATAAAAATCTAGGCTCTGGCTTTTTTCATATCACTTTAAAAAGTGTTGATGCTATTGTTTAGCAGAAAAATGACTTAAGCTCAGATTAAAGACTGTCTATCTGTGATGGCAGAGGCTCAGAGTGCAGTTTAGTTCTTTAAATCTTAACTCCTGATTGCTTTCAGCTTGCTTATTCATGCATTCATCAGATGTCAAGATTTTAGGTGTTAGGTTTCTTCTTCTCTGGATTCTTCCTTTTCAGAAGCTGTTTTTGTATTTTAACTCTCTTCCTTGATTCCTCTGCCTAAAAGAGGGTGAGTTATTTTCTATCAGAGCTATAGCCTCCTCATACCCAGTACCACTGCTGTGATTGCCTTCTGTGTCGAGCAGTTAAAAAATAACACACACACTCCAAATTTCAATGCCCACGCTGGTTACAGGCTCCAAGTTCCAATTCCCTTTCAAAAAGTTCTTGTGCAGCTTCCATCTCCAGTGTTCGGTGCCTTCAGGTAGTTCTTTTTTGAGAGTCAATAGCTCTTATTTGTGGGAATGTTGATTTATTAGGAGCTCACTCCTCTATGCTTCAAGCAGAAATCCTCATACACATATCATGATAAAGCCAATAAAAACTCTTTTTTCTATGTATTTTCAGTCATTGTTTGATCAAACATTCTTTAAAATCTATTGTTCCAATGAAATAATGAAGATGGACACATCATTTTCTCTGAGATATTGTATGTGCATGCACATTGTATTACAGTGAAAATATTTGCTGCCCTCCCTTATTCTGCTCTGAATCCTTACCTATAAAAGGACTACTGAATCCATTACAGTGACATCAGGCTTAGCCAATTGATGTGGTTTTGCTGTGTGTCCCCACCCAAATCTCATGGCCAGCTGTAATCTCCACGTGTCAGAAAAGGGACCTGGTGAAAGGTGATTGGATGGGGGCAGTTTCCCCCATGCTGTTCTTGTGATAGTGAGTGAGTTCTCATGAGATCTGATGATTTAAAGGTAGGGGGAAGTAAGTTCCCTCATAGCTTGCTGTCTCCTGCCACCATGTAAGATGTGCCTTGCTCCCCCTTCACCTTCAATCATGATTGTAAGTATCCTGAGGCCTCCCCAGCCATGCAGAACTGTGAGTCAATTAAACTTCTTTTCTTTATAAATTATCCTATCTCAGGTAGTTCTGCATAGTAGTGTGAAAATGGACTAATACATCAATAATACATGGACAGAAGTTATTTGCATGACCTCCCAGCAAAATAAATTACATCTATTGCATGGCCCTACCATCTTACTTTCTTATTGCCATGAAACGATTATGTCTCAGATAGAATCTTCTTTTTATCCTTCATTCTGGAAGAAAAATGAACATGGAGCGAAGTCACAAACACCCTCCAATGCATGTGAATATGACTAAGAAATAAGTCTTTGTTGTCTTAAGTGTAAGATTGTGAGATAATTTGTTACCATAACATAGCCTAAATTACCTGGCACAGACATGCTGTGTAACTTAGCCTAAGCTGATAGATAGTTATGTGTAAGTCTGAGATTGAAGAAGAGGAGATGAAATCACTCCCTCTATGTGTTAACAACACAAACAGCAATAACAATAAAAAGCAATAGTTGCACTAAATAAGTTTATATTTCTTCTGAGGAAGCATAAAGTGGAATAGTAGACAAAACTCTATACTAATTTATGAGATGAGCCAAATTCTATCCCTTGTTTAGATACTAATTCATGGCATTACTCTTTGAAATGCCATGCTCTTTGAAATGCTCTTTGAAATACACCTCTTTACCCTTGGATGTACTTATCTATTTAATAATAATGTTGCCTACTTAATCTCTGGAGATCTACTAACTCCAACAAATCTAAGATTTGATGGATATCAGCAAAGCAAAGCACATAGGCACTATTGTAGAGCTTCCCTCAGAGTAATGCCACAAGGGCTTCTTTTACAGCAAAACAAGATTGTCAACAAAGCAAACCTGGCACCCTATCCTGGAAACTGTCTTCCTCTATTTTCTGCTGTTATAACAGAATACCACAGACTGGGTAATTTATAAAGAAAATAAATTATTTCTCACAGTTCTTGAGGCTGGAAAGTCCAGGGGCATGACATGGAAGGTCATTTAATGGAGGAAGGCATCACACGAAGAGTAAGTGTGCAAGACAGAAAGAAATGGGGCCAACCGTATCCTTTTATTAGAAGCTCACACTTGCAATAACAAACTCACTCCAGCAATAACAGCATTAATCCCTTTATGAGGGAAGAGCCTAATCAACTTTTAAAGACTCCACCTTTTAACACTGTTACAAAGGGTATGACGTTTCCAACATATGCATACATTTCCAACATTCTGTGAGACATATCCAAATCATAGAACTAAAAATTAATTTCTGCTTAAAAATGCTATCATACCTCTTCCTCTTCCTCTCTGACATGAGAATGAGTATGTTCTACATAGATGCTGCTCCTAAAGACTGTTTTCCAGCATGAAAACTCATATGGAGCAGCAATAAATAAAGCCATAGCAACAAGAGTCAGCCTACATGTAACATGAATAAGAAAGTTAATTACTGTGAACTAATGAAGTTTTAGTGCTATTTTTTATACAGCAAAACTAATTGCTATGCAAAAGGTAGTATCAGAAATAGATGCAGCCCTAACAAAATACCTAAGCTATATCATTAGAAATGTGTAACATGCCAGTGATGACATTTTATTGGAGAATGGAAAAATGGCACTAGATATCATGCACTGGTGAACATTTGGTTAAATGTAAACCTTAAAATACTGAAGGTTTTAAGAACCTGAAAGACAAGCAATGTATCTAATAAGCTTGTGAGATCTAGGGGATAGATTTTGAGAAGCAAAGTTTTCTCAGAGTTTTGTTTATTAGTCACATGAAGTAAGTACTACAAGCAAGCAATGTATTTAGTAAGCTTGTGAGATCTAGTGGCTAGATTTTGAGAAGCAAAATTTTCTCAGAGTTTTTGTGTATTAGTCACATTAAGCAAGTACTACAAGACAAGTACCACTGTACGTGCTCAGAAAAGAATTGACTCACCTGCAAGCAGGGCAATAAGGAAAAGCAAAGAATCCAGAAATTCTCAAACTTTCAGGGCTGAGAGTTGCAACTTCTCCTGTCCAATATGTAAAAGAAAAAAAACTGAGAAATTATAGAAAGAATCATACTCAGTCTCAAGGCATAAACCAGAATCAAGGATGTGGCTCTGGTTTATTTCATTAAAATGTGTGCATGAATTAACATTGACCCCAGTGAATCTTTTTAGTTGGACCCAAAGGCTCAAGAAGAAGAGATTGAAAGTGCTCTCTTCAGTATAGAGAAATGCAGAATTTAAAAAGTATTGTAGGGGTAGATAATAACAAATGTAGTTGATTGCATTAAATATATATATTGTTATACACTTACATATTTTATTTCAATGTATACCTACATAAAATATTTTATATTTTATATAAAATATATAATATACACATGCAGGTGTATCCTAAATTAAAAGAGACTGTGACTGAATGTGAAACAATTACTGGTTTCCCAAATATCGATAGGAGTAAAGGAGGCTGAGAAAATTTCTCAGTTCCCAAGGAACCCATGTTCTCCATTGCTCTCTTCAAATTCGGAAAAGGATAATGGAAAAGAAAGGTACTCTTGGAGGATTAAATAAAGATTCATAGAGAATCATGAATTGGAGACTGATGTGGGAAGTGGAACTTGGGCTCCATCAATGCACATTACCAATCTTTAGGGTAAGAAATTGCCTAATATTTGCCCAAAAGAAATTAAGAACTTTCAGAGTCAAGTTATTCTTGATGCTTCCCATTTTCCACATGTCAAAATGGTTTGTATATGAGCGTGTATGGCGATGCAAAATTTGTCTTTTTAGCACATAGGTATTTGATTAAGAGGAGCTGTAATGGGATTTGGGGTATTGGTAAAATTTTGGAGTATATTCATTGGGGAAAGAAGTAGACTATTTTACGCACAGAAGAGAGATGTAAGTATTTGTGAAGTCTTTGGTAGGTCACATTATTTTTCACAGCTATTAACTTCTTCTCTGTAAGAGGTTTATACTTGCTCATCAATTGCTGTGTTACTTGTCAATGGCACCTATGGGAGGCTTTTTTTTTTTTTTTTTTTCTGAAACAGAATCAGGCTCTGTCGCTCAGGCTGGAGTGCAGTGGCACGATCTTGGCTCACTGCAACCCCCGCCTCCCAGGTTCAAGAGATTCTCTTGCCTCAGCCTCCTGAATAGCTGGGATTATAAGT